AAGAAAAAACATTTCGACCACAGTTAGGCTTGGCCGGGAGCCAGAGGCAGGGTCCCCCTTTTCCTTTCACAGCCTTGGAGCCTTGGAGCCTGCATCTTGACTCTCTTTCGCTGAAAGAGGGTCTCATTCTAGTCAGGTTCTTCACTCAGCATGCCTGGTCGTACCGAGCTGTCTGCAGCGAGGCAGATTCAAGGCCAGAAGCAGTAGAACACAAACGTACATGAGGGCAGGGTGCTTTGAAACTAAACCTTGTGGCCTTGACGACGATGGGTCGATGTCGATGCGGTCCCTCGCAGCATCGAATCATCCTGGCGACAGCCAAGATCCGCTGTCAAATTAGTTAAACTTGACTGTCCAACGCAGCACGGGTCCTGACAGCTTCCTTGGCGCTGCGGCCGTGGACCACGCTTGCCCATCTCCCTGCCTGCAAAGAACGACATGTGAACCAGGTTACATGTGGAATTTGGGTGCGTTCACATGATTCACGACACTGGCCTCTGCTTTTTCGGACAACCCCCGCGCTGAGAATTAAAATAATTGAATTAGGGATCCCAGCCAGTCTTGCGCCAGACCTTGGAGCCTGGGAACCTGGTAGCCGCGACACGCCCTGCAAACAGCTTGTCACGACGCACTTCACCACTTCGGCAAGATGCAACGCACGGCACTGTGCGGAATCGGTTACAACGAGGAAACTCACTGCATCTCACATTGCATGCAATCTTGCCCCCATGCTCGGATATGCTGCTAACTGAACACACGAAGGCTATGAAAGTCACACCCTACTAACCCTGAAACCCTTTAACCGACTCTAAACACACGTTAAACCATACGAGCCATCATCAAATAAAAATGGAGGCTCAGTCGAGTCATTTCTGATTCAGACAGAGCTCCGGCCACCGCCGCTTTCCGGGGTCTGGAGCACAGCCGACCAACACAAACAGCCCCCATTTGCCGGCTCGAAGCACCTTTGTGCAGCACGTGTGACTTGCAGCGGGGCAATTGGCTAAGTCGCTGCGTGTTTTCCACAGCTCGGGCCACTGCTTGCACCACGCTCTCAGTCCGGCCTCCCCCTTGGGCATGAAGGGATTCCCGGTCTCCACCTCAAACACCACGCAAGCATAGGCCCACATATCCACAGCTGCAGTCAGCAGCTGCTTTCTGACCCCGCAGTCTCCATCGCCATTCACACGAGCGGGCCACAGCTCCGGAGGTCGATAGGCAGCCGTGACATACTGCAGGAACCTGGGAGCCTGAGAAGCCTTCTGGAGCCGTGCCATGTTCTCACTCATGCCGAAGTCGCACACCTGCACCTGATCTGTGCAAGGGCACCAAAGAACATTGCCAGGTTTCACATCCAAGTGTAGGATGCCTGCGTCATGCAAGGTCTGCAGTGCACTTCTCAGCTGAGCTGCCACAGACCACGTCCTCGGCTTGCCATGCGCCGCAGGATTTCGAAGTGCGGTTGCCAGGCTGGGCCCACATAGGCTAGTAGCCATCCATGGCCAAGGTCTGCCCGTGACACCCGAGCTGACAAGAAGCGGGAACCACATCGTCTTCTGCTGCGGAACGGCCTTCGTTAGAAGCTTCATCTGCTCCACTTCGTGCCTGCAATCCGCGGGGCCATCGGAGCCACGATAAACCTTCACCGCCACGTTAAGGCCGCTTTGCGGATGCTGGCAACTGTAGACACTGCCATAGGCTCCGCCTCCAATTGGAGCCCTTGCACCATTAAGCTCAAATGGGCCAACGCGACCGCCAGATTCGTCAGCGGCAGGGGGGTCCTTCGCCTCGTCGGGGCCGCCCGCACTGGTCGTGGAGCCCCGCATCCTGATGCCAAGAACGGCCAGTGCACTTCGCTGAGCCATGAACTCATCTTTGCTCCTCGCCATGAATGGTGCCTTCTGCTTGTCGGTCATGCCCTGCCAGACTGCGCCAAGATGCTTCATCTCATTGAGAAACTCGTGCTTGGGAGCGCCTTTCTTGACTTCGGAGTTTTCCTGGAACCAGATGACGAAGGACCTTCGAGCCTTGGGGACCAAGCCGTCTTTCACAGCCTGCTTCCGCAAGCTCTGCGATTTGCTGCCACCATGCTGGCACCCCCGGGGCCACCGACGAGAAGCCGTCTTGAGACTGGTTTTGCCCCAGAGGCGTCTGGTAGGCCTCCATCGGCAGCCCATGTCGAACCCAAGCAGGGAACCTCAGAGCCTGGGAACCTGGGGCCATAACGGCTCGCTTTAATGCATTCAGGCGACTACAACAACATCCTCGGCGAGTCCTATTTCAATGTCATGCCACAATAAGAGCATTTCGGCTTTTTCAGGCGACAGTAGTCACTGCTACACACTACTGACAAAACTGAGCCCGGCAAAAGGTCAAGAGCCTGAGAACCTGGGAGCCGAGGTGCCTGAGCTGGTGCCTGAGCTGGCGGATTCGGTCGAAGTGAAACATCATCACTGCGGTTGATCGCGGGGGCTATCTGGCTCAGCAGGTGCCTCGTCCTGGTCGTCTTGGTTGGACAAGCTCTCCAGAACGTGCGGGAAATGCTTCTTCACCGCCTTGGCATTCTCGTCCGAGTAAAGAGTGGATCCCTCCAAAGCCATCATTCCGCAAGCTGCGCGATCAGCAACCGCCTGGACCCACGACATGTGCTCCTTGTTGAGGCCTCGGATAATTTAAATAAAATCAAATGACAATGATCTGACGAATCTACTGGACAAGTAAGGGTGCTGCAAAGCCCGTGGTATGCGATGCCGGCAGTCAAAGAAGCCTCCATCAGAGCACCGGTGCCAGCCGTGAGGTCAAACACTGCCTCCGCGCAAAACTCCTCAATGATGGCATTCCAATATGCTATCGGCTTCGACTCGTTCCAGAACAAGGGTACGTCGGCGCCGTGGCGATCCTGCCAGTCCTCTGGCGGTGTCGGGAGGTCGCCGGTTGTTGCCGGAGCAATGATCTTCTTCTTGGTGTCTGCAGACACGAGGGGCATTTCAGAAACCGCACGGTACTCCACGCCTGAGTAAGTGCCTTGGTACGTAGAAGCCTCGCCGCAGACTGTGAAGGAGCCTTTCTTCGTCGTCTGAATCTTGGTGCGTGCGACCGGGGACTTAACCGCTCCTGTCTCCACCTTCTTTGCAGCCAGCGGAACGCGGCGAGTGCGACCAGTTCTCGGCGGGCACCCACCTGAGTACACGATGGTGCACTCCTCGGTGTGCTGCTGGTTCAGCAGGAGGTCTTCCTTAAAGAACCAGGTGCAGCCTTTGAGCCTTGGAGCCTGGGAGCCTTGTCACATCACCCCGCCAAGACTCGGACACGCGGCGAATTTCCCGCATTCTGCCGTCGAAGAGTACAACGAAATCCTCGGGCCCAGAAATGTCTTTGGCAAAGGCACAGATCTCTTTCCATTCCTCGCTTGGCGGAGTGCCCTTGAGCCACGGGCCGGTACCAGCCTCTGCCAAGAGATCCGCACTGGCAACGATCAGGCGGTGCGAAGAGTTTAAGGTGCCCTTGTGCGTGAAGACCTTGCCGCAACCTCTGAACGCATTGACTAGGCAGTCCTTCGAGATCTTGTTCGTTACCGAGAACGACACGAACTTGCGGCGTTCCGTTTGCACCGCCTTCCACTGCCGCTCACGCTCGACACATTCCTCGGGTGTGTCAGCTTCAGAAGCCTTGGACAGGCTTTGGAGCAAACTCGGAGCAGGAGCCGCAGATGTGGCACCAACGGACTTCGTGCTGTTGTCGAACTTGTCGACAATGATCTTCATCTGAGTGATAAGCGCACATGGCTCCTCGTGCTCCGTGTCATCCGAGCTTCCGAGCTGTGCAGCTGTCAATGCCTTTGCAAGGCCATCTTCACTCGAAGCCAGCATGCAGCAATCCTTGTAGTACTTCCCCGACATCAGCTCCAGCAGCAAATCCAAAAGCATCCCAATGGCTTTGTTGAAACCCTCTTTAACAGCTCCAATCTTGGACTGCGGAACAGGGCGCTCCACGTCCTCTGGGTCCTCGCCGTCCATGTCGTCCTCTCCAGCAGCCCCTTGATCAGCATCAGCATGGCGGAGATATTTCTCCCAACATGTGGAAGGGCAACGGAGTTCAGCCAAAATCCCTGTCAGCTTAACCTTGTCCGGCTCAGGCAACTTGTTCGCCAGCTTTGCTGCATAATCGAAGACCTCTGTCAGTGTTCAAGCTGCCGATGACTTGCAACACTCCGCAAAAAAAAATACACACGCTAGTCAGAATAGTTATTATAGCCACAATGCCTGCACCACCAGCATGCGCGACAACCAAAAGCCAGCATCGCCTGTCTTCCGGTCTCGATCCAGAAACTTCTCGGTGCATTTAGCTGGCGTGACCATGTTCATGCGCAGGGCCAGCGTCAAGGAGTCGAGCATCCAGGCCGTCAGGTCTACAGCGTTTCTGGTAGCAGATGCGAGCTTGTTGGTCAGCGATAACAGCTTGCTCAACTTCGAGTACTGACTGCTCAAGATGCCCCGCCCAAATTCCAGCTCCAATCTCCGGTCAGCCTTCTCCACGGGACCGGATGGACCCCGCAGCACTGCAACAGCTGCTGTGGCAGCCTGGTGTAAGGCCTTGTTGTACAAGGTGTTGTTGTACCTCAAGTTCTGTTCCTCACCATCCTGGACTTTTTCGACCTTGAGCAGCTGGACAGTCTTTGCAAATGTCCAAAAGGTGTCGGACAGGCCAGGGTGCCCGAGTGCCTTGACTTTCTCTGAAGCAAGATTGCGACTCTTCGCAATCTCCCCTGCGCTGGAACACAAGCGAACCTGTATCGTGACAGTGCAGCCACACTCCCACAAAATCTCCAAAACTGCTTTGTCCTGCCAAGTGCAAGCACACATCAGTCAGATGAATCAATAACATGTCATGTCATGTGAACACAAGCAGCAACTGTCCTGGGAGACTAGGGCTTTGAAGACGGCCAAGTACCAAGCCCACAACACAAACACGCCGCTAGCAAGATGCAACGAGCTGTTGAA